TACAATTTTTAATGTTTGCACTGACAAGGTTCTGATATCAAATATGCTGTCCACTTTTATTTACCATTATCTACATTTACTAATAAGAATAAAGTTTGTGGTTTGTTAATAATTTATTATTATTATTATTTTTTATTTTATTATTCTTATTTATTATTATTCTTATTTATTATTTTATTATTCTTATTATTATTTATTATTGTTTTATTATTATTATTGTTTATAATTATTCTATTATTCTTATTATTTATTAATTTTATTATTATTATTCTTATTATTTTATTATTTATTATTTACGTATGTTGGAAAATTTACACAATTATAGAATCTTCTAAAATTGCATCTTATATTTGATTGTTTTATCATCAAGATATAAATGTTATTTAAATCCAGCTAATGGTCACAAATATGGGGCACCCAGTGAGAATTTAACTCACTCATAATGATCTGAAAAGTCTTATTGATAACCATCACATCATAATGAGGCACTTTTCTACCAAGGCCAGGGTGGCACAGAACCACAAATACGGAGCACTCAGCAAAGATCGACCTAGTCAGTAGTAAAGAAGACTTTATTACCACACTAAACATTATCATATGTCAAGGCATCAGATACAACTGCTGTAGATGTGTTGGAGTAAAAGGACAATTACAACAACATAAGCATTAACATAACAATTTTTAAAAGCATAGTTTAATAAATATTTCTTTTGTGCTATTTATTTATAATTTAAACTATACTATCTGTGACCTGTTGGGTCACTGACAGTTCTGGTTATAAAACAGTGAAGTTGATTTCAACATTCAATTGAAATGAAATGTTAATTTTATTATGATTCATTTAAATACTTCAATTTGTTTGTGTCATCATTCGTCTGGTTTACAAATTGATGTCTAACATTTTACTGATTGTTTACATCATTTAATAGGAATAGAACATCCGGTATAAACTTGAACTTTAAATCATATTAATGTAAAAATATTTTTTTAAATATTTAAAATATTGTTTGTTTAAAGAAAGCTGAAATATAAATAATTACTCTACAAACAACTCATACTCTTGGCATATATCAGGAGATTCTCAATAAAGTCCAAAGAAGGGGCTGTAATTTTATCAGTCCTGACCTGGCATCTCAACTTCAGTCACTTTCCCACCACTGTAACATGCCTTCCCACTATTTTTTTATAAACATTTTCATGAGAGCTGTTCTAATGAGCTCTCCTCCTTGGTAGCTCAACCATGTGAATATAGGTGTAATACTAGATTGGCAGTTAGGTCTCATTTTATAGTTGAAACCCAAGCCCTCTTTCCTCATTATGTGTCATTTGAGCCCAAATGGCCGGTATACTGGCCACTGTGCAAAAATGCATTTACCTGGGTGGCCAGCATACTAGCTAGAGTCATTGACAGCAGGAGACCAGGGTGGGAAATCCATACTCATCAGAGGGTCAGAGTTCACACTAGAAAATTCTTCAAATGTATACCAGAGATGGACAGCTGGGTCCCAGGGTGGGAAATCCATACTCTTCAGGGTTCAAAGGGTTAACATAAACTAGAAAATTATTCAAATGTTTCTCTCATGGTCAGTTCGATGTAACTATGTCCAAAGGCCGAATTCAACAGGACTTAGCATAATGACAAAAAGAAATTTAGAAAATAAGTCTTACTGAAAATGTTGTTTATACAGAAATGTTAAAAAATAAAACTTCTATCATAACTTTTCTCTATTTGTAGAACTTGTATTAGCTTCTTCTATGTGCCATGTCCTGTCAGAATGTTGGCAATCATGGCTCTCCACAATTTCCTGTCCTTTGTAACTCTTGATAAATTTTTTATCTTTTTGCTATATCGCCAATCTTGTCCTGCCTTCCATTTACACAAGCTCGCTAAGTAGGTTATGCAGTTTTTCTCTTTCCATCTTGCCGTCAATATGTCCTGTGAGTATCAAATTTTCCAAGCCATCTTTTCTCATTATGTATCCTAGAAATTTCAAGTCTCTTTCTGATATTAATTATAAATGTCTTTTGGTTTCCATTTTCTCTAAAACTTTGACATTAATCAGATGTTCAGCCCAAGGTATTCTCAGCATCCTTCTGTAGAACCACATTTCTGTTGCTTCAAGTTTCTTCTTCATCTGTGAGGATATTGTCCAGCATTCACTGCCATATAGGAGGACTGATATTATATAATAATTCAGTACTCTTTTCGTTGTTTCTAATAAAATTTTCATGTTTCTTAATACCTTGCTTAGCTTTCTGTAAGGCATCATTTGCTATACCAATGCACCTCTGGACTTTGGTGTGACACATTCCATCCTCTGTTAAAATGCTTTCCAGATATTTTCATTTTTCACTTTGCTTGATTTTGGCATTTCAAATTTGTAATTTGCATGTTGAGCTGCTCCTTTTGCTGAAACCATATATTCTATCTTCTTCCAATTGATGTTCAGTCCTTTCTTCTCGCTTTCCCTCACTACTTTCTGTAGGAGTTCCTGGAGTTTAACTTCTATATCTGTTATCAACACTGTGTCATCTGCATATGCTGTTAAGATTGTAGCCGCCAATAGTGAATCCTGGTAGGACTTCTAATTCTCTCAGAATCATCTCACTGTATGAGTTGAATAAGTCTGGTGAGAAGACACATCCTTGTCTTACACCCTTTTCTACTTTTGTATATTTACTGAATTCATTTACAATCCATATGCAAACAGTTTTCTCCCAATATAAGTTCTGGATTATTCTAAATTCCTTACCAAATATGTTAAGTTTACCCAGCAGTTCAGACAGCTCTTTGTGACTTTATTGATTGATTGATTCATTAATTTTCTTTATCAACTCTTTTCAGGTTATTTAAAGCCAGTAAATATTTTTAGATTGTAAGAACTTTTGTAGCCTGGGAGATAATCAAGGTTTAGTGATACAAGTCTTACTAATTAACCTATAGGTGGGGGAGCAGAAGATTCATACTGTTCTCAAGGGTATTTGCACATGTAAATATAACACAACAGGAATTGGAACTAAGCTCTCCAATTAAAAATTCCAAGCAATTATCCATTACACCACCTGCACATCCAAGTTTATAGCACTGGTCACCAATCAAGATACTGATCAGGCTCAGTTGTGATCATATGGGAATTAATGTTTCAATGCAATGTGGCTGTAAGTCACGTACTTTATTAAACACTTCTGAAAGGAAGCAAAGTTAATTTAATGTATTTGACGATGTGTAAGAACAAATACTTTTTTAATCACCAAAACCATACATAATGGATTTTTTTTTATCATTTCACCCCAAGCAAGGCAACAGAACTACTAAAATGCAAGGGATTGAGATTATGAAAAAAAGAAAACATTATTAAGGAGAGAGAATAAAAGAACAGGAAATAAAAAGCCAGAAGATAACAACTGACATTGCATTTAAATTTTTGAAAATTAAAGTTGACTGGAAAGAAAGAAACCAAAAGAGATTTCTACCAGCAAGAAAGGCAAGAGAAGAAATTGTTAGCTTACAGTAACATATAGCAATTTCAACTGTAAAATGATGAGACCTTCCCCCAATCTCGTACTGTGTTTAAATTCATAAAGTCTAGGTATTAAAGAGGAAATCTCATTAGATGCCAGCTTTTACCCAACTTATATATGAAGTTAAAATATCTAGTAGTTTAATATTTATACAGACACCACAGAGTAGCAGTGAAAGCAACCACATTAATTCTCTAATACTATCAAATGCAAATGATAACTCCTATATGCAATCAAATACAGTACAAAATCATTGAGGTAAGATTGGGTTTTCAAGGGAGATAACTCACATTTGTGTTTTATTTTTCACAACATGAACAATGTAAATAAGACTAAATAAATTAAAACAGTGAAAGAGAAAAAAAGTATTATACCTTTTGTGCACAAATAGGCATTTTTATCAAAAAAGCAAAAAATATCAAAACTGTATGAGAATATCTTTTCCGAATTCGCAGAGATTAATAAATAAGGAGATAGCTACATTACAGAAACAAAGATTTAATGAAAATGGTGAAATAAAAGCAAAACAAAGATACAAAATAAAAACTATAAAGGGGATAAAGCATTGAATAAGGAAGCATAAAATACAAACAACAAAGAGAATTAAATGAGAGAAGGGAATGCAAAAGAAAAATAAAAAAATAAAATTTAAGACCCAAATACAAATCCAGGACCTTCTCACACATTGGAGTAACCTCTCTCTGATTTTGCCATATATTCAGGGGTATAGCCATACTCGTAACACAATTGATGCAGGGTGGTGAGGCTATTTAACCCATAGTTGAATGTTTTGAATGCTTTTGTCCTTCTCCTAAACTGGTTGCCAGCCAAGGCAATTAAACCCAGCCTGTTCTGCTATTTACCCATAGCTGGAGAGAAAAGAGCTGGATTTACACATTTCCCAAGTGTATTTGCACATAAGTGAATGAAATGAAGTCAACTGGAATTCAAACCCAGCTCATCAATTCCTCAATCTAAGCCACTATCCATTACACTACTGTGCCTCCATCAAAGGAGAGAAGAAGAAAAACTGCAAAGAAGTTAAAAGAGCAAGGCAGGAAGATTAAAGAAAGAAAGAAAAGAAAATTTTTTTTTTTAAATCTGCACACGCCTAGAGAAAACATTCAATGAAAATAACTTTCAGCCGTTACTCTTCAACCAACTCTAAATAAACTATTTCTTTAATATTCTATTTCATAAAAAAAAAAGTTATCTAGACATAACACCATATTAAAAAGTTTCAAATCTTGACAGGAAAATATTTTGATTCATGTAAAATCACTTTAATTTTGTCTAAAAATAGTAATGTGTTAGATATTGCGAAGAAACAAGTGCTATTCTAATAAAAATATTAAAAGTGTCATTCTAATAAAAGTATTACAAAAGAAACATTGAGGGAATGGTTGACCTGAATTTTGAAGTTTGACAATATTGTTATGTTATGGGAAAAAAATATTAAAAAAAAAATGTCAACATACTTCTCGTCTGGTTTTCATTAATTTTTTTTCTAGCTCAGCCAAATCAAGTTGTGTGTTTTCAGGTCCTTTGTGAAAGAGTGATGCAACTTCTGGTTCAGCAATGTGTGGGTGTCTGTGTCGATTCTGTATTCCTTTCAAATGATCATATATTGTGCTATTTGCAGTCTTTCCACAAGACACTGAGTTATCTTTCTTGGCTTTGCTCCCTGAAGCATTTGATTGGCTGGAAATAAGTAAGAATCAGCTTTTATGAGATGTTCATAAACAAAATGTTAGGTTTTGATTCAAACCCTTTCATAACAAGTAATAAAATTATTCAAACATTATATTTCCTGCTTTATAATCTACACATCATTTTCCCCAAAAATATTCTCTATAAGTATTCAGCTAACATCTAGATTACAAATTAAAATAATGTTAAGAAAAAAATAAAAAATAAAACTCTTTATACATACATACATACATACATACATACATACATACATACATACCCATGTATGTTTTAATTTGTAATATAGATGTTAGCTAAATACATATGTATGCACATACATACATTTTTTAAAGTAATAGATTTTTTTTATTTATCAATCCGACAGATTTTTACCACTTTAAATCTTATTTTTAATGAATAATAATATTTGATTAGGCGCTTTGTTTATTTATTAAACATGAGTACCTCAAAAAATCTACTAAGAGTATATCATGATGAAGAAAGGCCCCAAACTTGATAAAAACAGTTTTATCATCAAAATTTTTGTTATTATTAACAGGAAAGATTAAAGTATTTTTATCAAATTTTTTAATCCTTTCTAACATGTCCAAAATTTTGATTAAAAATCTCGTTTTTCTTGCATCAACATGTGGGCCAAAGATTAATATTGGGAATTTTAGCATCACTTAGCCATTAAAAATACCGTTTGGGAAATTCTTTCGAAAATCAAATAATTGTCAAATTTTAATTAAATTTTCAGGACTTATTCACAAATGAATTAAATTGTTTTTTCATTTGTTTTTTTTTTTTGTTTTTTGTTTTTTTTTACATCTGTTACCCCACTTACTTAATTTTATGAAATTGTGAGAAATTAAAATTCCATCCACTTCATATTTATATGAGTTAAAAGCAGGATTCCTTGGAGAATTTAAATCAACAATTTGTTTTTTTAAACCGAAACCCCATTTACCGAAAATCTGCTCTGAATCATAAGATAAAAATGCAATAAAACTATGACATTTTTTAATTAGAAAAGCAATTAAAACTGCTTTCATAAATAAGATATATTAAGGACATTACTGTCTTAAGAAAAAAATGTTTTTCGATGAATAATGAATTTTTACAAGAATTGTTTTCATTTTTTAAAATTTTAATTAGAATAATTTATTAATTTTTAAATCTTTTAAAATTCCATTTTAATTTTACCCTTTTAGATAATATTAAGTAAAAGCTATATTTACTAATCATAAATGGAAAAGCTTAGAACAAATCATCAAACACAAATATTTTTAAAAGAATTTTGAATGTTTTTTTTGTACATGTATAAACGTGCCAGATATGGACAACCATACATGACATTATTAGAAAATAAGAGAAATAACTATAGTAAATTTAAAGCCAACATTTCTAAAATTCAATAAAGCATCAGATTGCGGAGAATATTTTCTTAAATTTTAAGATTATGGAGTACTTAAATGTTATATATAAAAGGCGAACACATCATTTTCTTCAATTATGTTTTACAGATAAAGTCAGCATAGAACAACATTAGATCTGTCATCATGTCAATACCTTAAATAAACAGCTACTGACAGGTTAAAAAAATGTATTTCTGCAATATTTTAAACTTTTATTTCAAATAAGATTAATTATATATTAAATCAGTCAATATTCCTCAAATAAAGTTTCAGAAATGTAAATTTTTTGAAGATTTTTAATAAAATAAACAAGGCCTAAAAATGTTACTAAAAATCAAATTTTTAGTCAATTTAAATTAGTTTTGAAATAGAGCAAAGTACTTCGCTTATTGAAAATATTAATTTTAATCTATTAACTTGAAATTAAAATAAAAGCTTCAAGAAAGATTTTTAATTTTTATAAATTCATTTTAAACCTTAGATATCACGAATTAGTGGAGGTACCTAATTAAACAGTGTATTTGTCTATTTTCATCTATCAACCTGAATATTTAAGAAATCTTTTTTTTTTTTCATTTCACCCCAATCAAAGCAGGAGTTCCATTAGCATACAAGGAGTTACAGAGAATGAAAGTAAGAGAAAAAAGGGGTGTTTGAGGATAGGATAAAGAGAATGACACGTATCAAGTTCAATGCATCAGAACAGATGTCGATTGACATTACATTTAAATTTTTGAAGATTATAGTTAATAGAGAAGCAATTAAGAGGAAGAGAGTTCCCCTGTTCAAAAGTGCAAGAGAAGAAGCTGTTGGAGCAGAAGAAGCAGTCACATTTAACTGTTTTGACAGTAAAATGGTGCCAACCATAATCTACTTTCTTCTTGATTCCTCTTTTATTGTTCTCATTTCTTAATCATCAGTAACCCACTGCATCTTAGTGGCTTTATTGCCTTGCTTGAGGTGAAATGATTAAAACAAAGGTGCTATTATAATACTTTGGCTTAAAAATCTTTGTTAGGATATTGCGTCTATTATGCTGATGAAATATTTATATTGAAATATACCCTCATATATATATATATATATATATATATATATATATATATATATATATATATATATATATATATATATATACACACACACACACAAAACCTCCAAAACTAAACTCTCTATTAATCATCTGAAAGAAACATAGCTGATGTTAACTTCCAATAGAGTGGCTCATTGCACCTCTTTGGACTAACAGTTTCCACTGACATGAAGTGGAAAAGTTACATTGAATCAATTGCTAAGTCTGCTACTAAGAAAGTTGGTTCACTGCGTCATGCTAAACAATTATTCTCTCCAGAATCTATCTTACATATTTATGAATCTACCATTTGTCTTTGAAATGAATATTGCTGCCACACCTGGTCTGGTGCTCCTACTATACATTTAGAGATTCTTGATAAAATCCTAAGAAGAATCTGCAATGTTATTGTTCCTGATATGGCATCTTGTCTTCAGACACTTACCCACCAATACTTTTCTGCACCTTTTCTATAAATACTTTTAAATACTTTCATGGTAACTGTTCTGATGAACTTGCCTTTATGGTACCTAGACTTTATGAATTTAAGCAAAGTACCAGGTTGGTGGTAATCTTTCATCATTTTACATGTTTTGTGATTATTTAACTAGATATAACTGTAAGATAACAGTTTCTTCTCTCACCTTTCTTGCTTGTGAAAATGTTCATACTACTTGCTTTACAGTCAAATTTGATCTTTAAAAATTTAAATGCAATGTCAATCTTTATCTTCTGTCTTCTTAATTCTTACCAATCATATGAGATATGTGGGGTATCTCTGCAACATCCCATATCATGTAACCCAAGTTATTTTTAACCCCTTTGCCAGCATAAACATGTATATATGTTTTTACCAAAAGTGTCTTTTTCTGAATCAGAAATATAAACATGTCCAAAACATAATGTTGAAAAACCAGCTACAGACGTGTTTATACATCGACCTTAGTTCTTTTTATGCCTTGCTGAGCTTGAAACAAGTCCAACTGTCAACTCATATGTCTGTAGAGTTGTTAGCCACTGTTTGGGTACTTCAAGGTGCCTCAGTTTCTTAGTTACTATATGAAAAACAAATAAAATAATTTGTCTGAAAATGAAACATTTTTTCCCAAAATAATTATCAGGAAAGGGGTTAATCAACATTTTGATTTTGTCATTATTGATGACTTCAAGACTGCTTGAATGTTTTTGCTTTTCCAGTTCAAAATTTCTACTTCTTAAAACTAGTGAATCATTTACAAACAATAAGTGATTCTTCTCATCTACAGCACCATCTTCATAAATGGCATATAATTTGTTTTGCTGCTTGAACAGCATCTTTTTTTCCTTCCCAGAAATAATTAAGAATCAAATTACAAAAATGCCACTCGTTTTCCTCCATTTTCATTTTTATGTAAAAACATAAAATTCACAATCCACACCCTGAAATATACAGAAACATCACATTTCAGAATAAGTATGTACTAGGTTGACCAGAAAGTCCTGACTTACTTAAGAAGCAGAAAGAAAACAACAAATGTTGATAACTGTCTGGTGGACTTCCCAAAGAGTACTGCATTCCAAGCTTGTTCCACACGGTTGTGCCATCAATGCTAAACTATACTGCCAGCAGCTAGACCATGTATACAATAAACTAAAGGAGCATCCTGCTTTGGTCAAGCAAGACATTGTGAGGCTACACACTGCCAAGTTGACTAAGGAGAAGTTCAAACAGATGGACAGTGTTGAGATTCTTCTACAGCCACCATTTAGTCCCAACACTGCTTTGAGTGACTATAGCCTATTATGTTCAATAGCACATTTCCTCCACAACCAGCAATTCAACAATTTTAATGAAGTGAAGGAAATTTGTTTACAGTTTTTTTTTAATTCAAAGCCAGGGGACTGGTATCTGGGACAGATTTGAATGCTGGCTGATTCCTGGCAGAAAATTGTCAAGAATGAGGGACTTTCTTCTGAAGAATAAATTTTTGTGTTGCTCCATAAAATTTTGTTGTTTTCTTTCTGCTTCCTAAGGAAGTCAGGACATTCTGGCCAAACTAATATGTCATGAAATGTCAGTCTCATGTCTCATGTGAAATGAAATCTTGTGTTCAGACTCCAATTGAAAACTGCTGCTTTTCATACCCAATAATTTTGTATTTATCAATTATGCTAAAGAAAAAATATAAATAAAAAGCTCTCTCTCTCTCTCATATATATATATATATATATATATATATATCTTTTTACTTATGGCATTGAGCACTTTTTGGCCAGTAAGCAACTTTTGGGCGGTCTCTTTTTAAAGTCTGTTCATCTTTCTCTAAAATTCTATATGATCTAACATGATTTTAGTGGCCCGGTTCAGTAGAGCACTTTTTTTGGTTTCAAGCTTTAGCTCCTTTACCATAGCGCTATTATTACTAATGTCATTGAGCACTTCTTTGCTATACCAGCAAGCCTTTTCCAGTAGAATTTATTTATTTTTTAGTTTTCAGCTATTTTTGATCTTGGCTGGATGGTTTACCCTCCCCAGGTAGGTT